TATTATCCTGAGGGCCTTCCTAATTACTATATTAATGCCTCTGGGAAATATTAGCTAATGATCGCTAATCACATTTTACCTGTGTTTTTAATTCACACCTGACATTGATCACAAGCTCAGAACTCATATCATAAAAAAATTAAAATGCCATGACAACTGTCATTATAAAATTACTTTTAGCAAAGACACTCGTCAATTCTGATATAATAAATTGCTTCGCCGAGGTCCAACCCTGAACAGTTGGGGCAAAAATGGACACAATATTTGCGCTTGATACAGGTCTGAATTTGGATTGTAATTAAATATTTGACACATAAAAGGTTTCTGACACAGAATAAATGTAGTCAAAGAACTTAGAATTGGTTATATAATTTGACTTTATATTCAATTTTTTGCTTTTGTGCAATACACTTTGCTGTTGCGAATTGACCCCCCTTCCCCCCACAAAAAAATAAAAAATTTACCCCCTTTTTTTTTTTGCTTTTGTGCAATACACTATGCTGTTGCGTATTAACCACCCCCCACACACACACTTTTTTTTTGCAAAAAAAATAATATTTGAAGAATTTTTTTTTAATTTCTGAAATCTGAAATGAGAAAAAATTGACCCCAACGATTTCTTTTTACCCCCCCCGCCTTTTTTTCCCCCAAAAAAATTCTTTCCTTCAAGATATGGTCATAATCTAAATTTAAATTTCCAATGGAGTTTGCAACCATAATTACCCATTTAAATTTACCATAGTGCTAACTTAATCTATTTTATAATAGAATTTGAAATATGATGTCAAATCTCAAATCTTTCATATGGATTTTTTTGTAAAAAAAAAAGATGCAACATTTGCAGATATTTTTACTGGTCTTCCTTTATAAATATGCATTTCTTTTAACATAATTTAAAAGCAGTGTAAGGGATGTAATCAAAACATTGTATTTGGATTACCTCCCTTACACTGCTTTTAAAGTGTCTTAATTGTTCATTAACCATTACTTTATACATAATTTAAAAGCAGTGTAAGGGAGGTTATTCAAATGATGTATTTGAATTACCTCCCTTACACTGCTTTAAATTATGTTTTGTACTAAAGTATTTGTCCATTAACCAGGACACCCTTGTTTTCCCTCTTATTTGCCCCTAATTCCTAAACGGTTTGAGCCATAACCCCCCCAAAGCAAATCCTAACCATCCCTTTGTGGTATGGAAATTTGTGGTATAATTTCAGAGAGATCCATACACCGTTCCACGTTTGTCTGGAAACTAGAAAAATGCTTATTTTTGGCCCCTAATTCCTTAACTGTTGGTACCATAACCCCCAAAATCAATCCCAACCTTCCTTTTGAGGTATTGAACCTTATGGTAAAGTGTCATAGAGATCCATTCACACAAAAATTTTTGCGGTCATACATGTATAAAAATTAAAACTCAATTTAATTTACATAGAAAAAAGTAATTTTTCAAGAGCTTCACATGTGCTTTATTTACTATGTAATACGCATGCATGAAATTGTCTTCAAAGGATTAGACACTCAATCGTAAAATGCAAAATGATTTCATGCGAAATTAAACAAGTGCAACTTTTATCTGTTATATTCAAACACTTTTAAAGGTAACAAAATTTAAAAGCCAGCGATTTCCTATCAATTTGATAAACAAAACGAATTGCGGAAATGAATCTGGAACAATTTGTACTTTAGTATTGTAGCATAACTTCTGGTTTTAATTTTATCTTCAAAATCGAAAGAAACATTAGCGATATCTGAGAAATTTACCATTTTGAGTCATTAAAATCATTTCAATTTTTAACTGTTGCCTTCCCTAAACTGTTCTTGAACATTTTTAGAAACATGGTCATGAAATTCAAGAAGTAAATGCGACGAAACAATCAATACAAGTTTGTTGATGCTATGAATCTAGTGTTATTTCGACAATTTGAAAAAAAAAGGGCACCAACTTTTAAGCCATCTCAAAATGACCGAAATTGTGTGAAAAAATTTCCAGATCCTTGGGGCATTGTATGATCTGTACAGAATTCAGTCCCCTGAAATTTATCTGGTTGACCAGTAAGAAAGTTTTACAGCCAACTATATATACGTCATACATGTAATTAAGGATAATCTTAGTAATGGTTTAATGCATGTAGCTACATGTTTATTTCGTTCAATATCTGAATCATGTTCATTTGGATCGAGAATTTTTCTAGGCTGTACTGTTGCCTATAATTGCTTACATCCGCTTCATTTGAACTTTGGTGGATAGTTGTCTCATTGACCAGGGTTTAAGCTAGGATTTTGATGGCTTTAGTCACTTTTAGTGTGATAAGAAAATCGACCTTTCTTGGGTAGCAGCCATTAACTTGATACTAGTAGTACTAAAGTAGTGTTTCCTGCAGGAGGTTTTGGCGTGGTATGGCGCCCTGCCAGTTTTTCTTGACGCCATGCCCCTTTTCTGTCGTATTTTAGAAGGCCCCATCGTAATTTAATATCGGGTTGACGATTCATCGTTTAGCACGACCATTTTGAGTTATTTCCCTTGGAATAAAATTAAAATTTTAATGGCCGACATTTTATTGAAATTCGTAATTTATACAGTTTTGAAGCGACTGAGTACAGATACAATTCATGATTGAATCTACTTGATCTAATAGGGAAAACATCAATTTGTACCTCTACGAATTTAAAATATAGACAATCTAAAAGGGAACCAGGCGAGCTTCGAGTTATAATCTTACGATGCATGGGATGCACATTACCACTGATTACGGTGTTTATATTTTCTATTTATACTATTCAGTCGGTCGCGAAGTCAGATTGGCTGTGAATTTACAACGGCTTCCTTGTTGTTATCTTAATAAAATTAAAGTTAAGAATATAGCTGATAAAGTATTGAATAGTACAAATAAAAAAACAAGTTGAACAACGTTTCAATAGAAAAAAACATAAAAAAACACAGATGGAAAAAGCAGAAGAATATGTATAGTAAGTCTTCCTATACCATGTATACAAATCTTTCAATATTTTAAAACTATTTGTACAGTTATTAGCCAATTAAGCTTTGATTGGTTTAAAAGAAGTTATTGTATAGGGTTTAAAACATGAACAAAAACATGAGTATTTTCCTTTTTAGTATTTCATTAGTATACATGACATGTACAAATAAAAATATAACTGTTAAGAATAAAACAAAACAGCTGTATTTCTTCAAAAGATACATATTATTCAAAAGATACATATTGTATGTTTTTGTTTTGATTTGTATGTCTAAAAACATGGGGCTAATCTATTGGTCAATGTTCCTGTCCTTATAATTTGCTTATGGTCTGCATATGCTAGAGAATAGAGAAAATGTTTTAATGTTAAAAATAAACACAGAGAAAAATGGACAAAAAAAATGTAGAAAAGAGAATAATGGGTGCTTAAATATACCTGGGACTATTATACTAACTATACTATACTAGTTAGTATAATAGTCCAAGAATATACAGAATAGAGAAAATTTGTATAAAAAAAAGAATACAGAAAATGATCCAAACCCCTAATTTGCACCAAAACTCAAACCTATAAGTCCTTAAGTCAGAAGTATGTAGACAGATCATGAGCAGGTATTTCAATACTTGTAGTAAAAATTATAATTGAGTTATCTTTCTTGATTCGGGTATGCTCCTACTCTTTGGAGGATTATACACAGTAGAAGCACATTCAATTAATGGCCTCCCATTTTGTTATTCTATTTCTAAAGTGAGGGCATACAAAGACAAATTCATCTGAATTAAACCTTTTTAACGGAATTCATGAAAACCAATGTGTTTGAATAAGTTCATTACGGTTTTTGTCTTTCAGTCAATTACGTTTTCATCATGAAACTACGGTAAACGTGTGGTATGATCAATTTCTTACGAATTGAAAAAATGTCCGCTAACCGATTCTATTTGTATGAATTAATTAAATTTTGATGATCATTAATGACCCATCACATAAGTGGATTATCTGTAACAACAAATTATGACACCTGTTGTATCTGTTGATTAGCTGGAGGGGTCGTAAACTTGTCATAAACTTGACACCAGGTAAAATTTTGCTTCATTTACAAATTTAAGTGACGAAATTGATTAGAAATACTTTTGCCATTTTGAAAATCGTTTTGTAAATGACAGGCGCTAGCAAAATCACTACATTGGCAATCATACCACATCTCCTTATTTTTAAATTACAACTTTGTGATTAGGCAAAAGTTCTGCGTGGTAATAAAAGTCATACTCCATGGCAACACTTTCGGTGTAAACAATGACGGATTCCACCCGCGCTAGAATAATGTGAAGGTAAGGATCATACAGTGCAATCCCAATAAAGGGTAGGACAGCAGTAGGTTTTAACAGAAATTTTTTAAGATTCCCCTTAGGCCAAAAAAAGATATATGTCTGTTTACGGTTAACTGACTGACCCTACTTTTGAGCGCCGACCCTAAGTCATTTTATTTTGGTTGTAAAGTGAAAAATAAACTGAACTTGTGTCAAAAGCGAAGTTAGTGTTGCATATAATATAAAACAATTGCCTGATACATCTGAATGTTCACAATCATGAATATGACAGCTGTTTTAAGGAAATTCGCAAATTATACAGAAATCAAATAAGGATGTAAAATTTCATACACTTACAACAGGTAAAGAAGTAAATATTTAATATTATTACAAAAAAGCACTTTTATGGATCGGGACCCCTAAAGTAAAATCCAAAAATGCCGGGACTCCTAAAGTAAAAGAAGGCCAAAATTGTATATGAATATCAAAGCAAGATACCTTAGACGACAGGATTATTATCTTAGAACTGCATTTAAGACTGAGAGATACACAAAAGCTGTGGTTTCAGTTATTTACTCGTCAAAATTATCTACTAAGTTATTGAAAACATAATGTTGGCAAGTTAGCTTGGTGAAACATGTCATAATATTTTTGTTGGGCCTTCGTTACACAGTAACCTGCAAATGTTTCTGTCCTATGTAAACTTACTTATGAGAATTATAATATGGAAATGTTAGCAATTATTGCGTTGTCGATTATATATGTCTACTCTTCCTGATTGCATGATTTTCTGTCATCCCTTCACAATGTAAACACTGGCTAAGCAAACATGCCTCGACGAACTCCAAAATTCGCCGCCATTTTGTAACATTTGTTGGATGACGGGTAAACTGGTCCCTACTGGTTCCCACAAGAATTCTCCGTTTATTCGCTCTGCTCAATGCAGCTATTTTTATCAAGGATTACTTATACTATTTTGAAAGTGCCTGGTTACAATTTTTAACTGTTGATCTTTGATCCATTTTTCATCGTTGATGACTATCCAATTTATAAAATCCAGAGGCGGATTTAGAGGGGGGGCCAAGGGAGCCCGGGCCGCCCCTTTTCTGGGAAAAATTTGGTTGATTATATAGGGAATCACTGAAGCATGACCGGAGCGGGGCCCCTTTAGGCAGTCAGTGGGCCCCCACTTTTGAAAATTTCTAGATCGGACCGCCACTGAAATCGATGATAAAACAATTGCGTATCATTTGATAATTCGAGTTCACCGTTTTTGCACTTCGGCATCAGGGGCGGATCCAGGATTTTGGAAAGGGGGGCGTAGTATTTAAAGTTCGCCGAGCGGAGCGAGGCGAAAATTTTTTTAGACCTTTTTTGGGGCTAAAAAACTTAAAATAAGTGTAAAATGCACATTTTTAACGGTTCCTGACGTGGGGCATGTATATTTTATAGTTAAAGTGTAAGCTAGGGTTGGACATTTTTGATGCCGCATTCTCCCCATTAATTGTCTATTATAAAATGACTGAATGGATCCAAAGCTATGTACAACTAATATATTTGATGTGGGATTTGTCAGTAAAAAATGGACAGGGAAAATTCTCGTTTGTTGTATGGTTAGTTAGCATAACCTCACAGATTTCTTTTTGTAAACATGTATGATGATATGCGGCTATTCAATGAAGTTTGTAATACGACCGACACGAACAAAGACAAACAAGCATTTTTTATCCAAATGTTTGGTTGAAATGTTTCACCCAACAAGGGAAGTGAGGGGTCCCAAATCAACCAACGAATGAGTCTGAAAATCAAATGACAACGAAGTTGTGAATGACGGTCGACAAATGGAGACAGGCCACACCCAGCAGGCAGGTTGCAGTTGGGCCTTGAAAAAAGTATTCAGTATATCAGTTCGGCGAAACAGACATTTCGGTCAGATATGGGATTTACATGCAAACCCCCAAAAAAATTTACGCCCGTTTTTTTATTCACCATGTTCATTTAATGCTGAATAATTCTGTTGGATTTTTCTGATAGCAAAAAGGGGACACGAGAATTGTTTTCAATACAGATACGGCCAGAATTTTTGTTTAAGGCAAAAATCAGGGTCAGAATTTTTCTCTAAAATATCTCAGACTGCCCTATCAAATCAAATGGTCCGTACCTTAGACTTTAAATCTATCTAGAGCTTACTGACTTGGGATCACTATTCAGCAATGTTATTAATTGGCTGGGGCGTCTGGGGTTAAACATATTTTTGTAGGTAAATAATATTGCTGTGGAACTTTTTTTTCATGAGAGTGTAATAGAGTATTACTTTCTGTTGAGTGGAATTGTGAAATAGAAGTCAATACGTGGTTCTTGTTCAATCCTTTGTCGCTTTGAAAGAGTCATGCTTGTCATCCTCCGCCGAAAGCAATGTGTGACTGTAATTTAAATTTCAAAATGACTGAGTGACGTTTTTTTCGACGTACTGATCAACTCCACCGTAGCGAATCACATGACTTTGACATAATCAATAATATATTACAGTAAATACGAGCGAAAAATATCTTTATAAGTAAAGAATTGTCGCATAAAAATTAAATACACGGCCGGGTAATGGCAAAGTTCACGAAGTCTAGTCTGATTAATCATTTTACAAAAAAAAAAAAAAAAAAGTTCATGCAAAAGGGGGGGGGGGGGGGGCGTACGCCCTCTACGCCCCCCTCTGGATCCGCCACTGGGCATGCTGAAAAAAGGGCAAAAAAAATATGAATAAAATGTTTAAAGGAAACACATATATATGTTGTCGCCTTTTTTAATTAATAAAATGTCATTAAATAACGGCATTTGGTTTCAAAATGAAACGTAATAGTCAAAGTTGTGACTGAGTGCGGAAATATGAAGATAGATAGATAGATAGAAAGTTTTTTTTATTTAAATCATGACGTTTCTGGTATGTACTGGGTCTCCTTGGGGTCTAAGCGTGACGCGGGATTGTCGATTTTTTGTAAGCGTGACACGTGAAAGTCAAATTATTGTGCCGTGAAAACGGGAAATGAAGTCTAGCGGGATACGGGAAATTACAAAAAAAAATGAGAATTGCAAGTTACGTACATAGTGTAAGCGGGACACGGGAATCTGACAAACAGTAAGCGGGATCCGGGATCAGAACCCCCCAATTAGTCATACACACATAACATGTCCGGCGTTGAACACGACATGAAGTCGAAACGTGGCTAAATGGAAAACTATTGACAGTTTTTTTGCTAAACCCTTTTCAACAGAAACGAAAGGTTCTTCAGAAGAACCCATTTCCCAACAATAGTTGCCAAAGTCTGAGAGAATAAATCATGATAGTGAAAATGCAACTACAAGATCCAGCTCAGTTTCGACCGTCACCTCAAAAGCCAACATCCCAGCGTACCCAGACATATCAAGTCTGCACGATTCCACTTTGCAGTAGTTAAGATGCAATTACTAACATCCAACTGGAAAAATGTGAATAATTTTGACTTCCCGGCGAGGTATGTTGATTTTAGTTCTTCCAAGTCACTTTAAGTGTATAAAACGTTTCCCAAAATGAATAACGATAGGTTATCATCGCTAGCATTAATGCATATTCATCGGGATTTCAGTGTGAATATTGATAAAGTAATTGAGAAGTTTGTTTCTGCTCAGACCCGAAGAGCAGATTTTGGACAATTTTGAGTAAATTCTGTCTCACAAAAAATGTGTTGCTTATGTATTCAATTTACCATGATTTACCCTATTACCTCATGATTTGTTACTCATGAAGTTGAAACACTATGGTCTGAGTGAATCTGCTCTTCAATTACTAGATAGTTACCTTACTGGTAGAAAACAATGTGTCAAAATTGGTCAAAGTATTAGTCAAATGCTTGACATTTATAAAGGTGTACCACAGGGCTCTATACAAGGCCCAGTTTTATTTAATATTTTTATAAACGATATTTTTCTCTTTGTAAAAAAAACTGTGACTTGTATAATTATGCAGATGACAATACCCTTTCATAATCTGGTTCTTCTTTGGCATTAGTTATTAAATCCTTGGAGGAAGACAGTGGTTCACTAAATAAATATCACAAAATAAAATGCAGGCTAATCCAGAAAAATTTCAAGCCATAGCGATTGGCAGCAAAACACATAAAAGCAACATAGTCTCAACTTAAATGGAAACACCATCAAATGCGATGATGAAGTAAAACTACTTGGAGTAACTATTGATTTTAAGCTCGACTTTAACCAACACATATCTAACATCTGCAAAAAAGCAGCCAGACAGTTAAACGTTCTGAAAAGAATTGGATCACACTTGAACAAACTGGCAAAAATGACAATTTACCATTCTTTCATCATGTCAAACCTAAGTTACTGTCCACTCACATGGCATTTTTGTAGCGAGCGCAACACCAAAAAAATTGAAAAACTGCAAGAACGAGCGCTCAGATTCATCTACAATGACTACAATAACTCATATGAACAATTAATTGAACAATCTAAACTACCAACACTTAAAATCAGACGCATGAGAACCATGGCATTAGAAACCTACACATTTTGGACAAAATCCAGTCCAGAGTTCTTACACAATATATTAAATTTTAAAGATAACTCATATGATTTTAGATATAAACTCACTGTTGATTACCACAACATAAAACTACAAGGTATGGCAAAAGGAGTTTAAGCTTTGAGGTAGCAAAGTTGTGGAACTCCCTGCCTAACCATGCAAGGAGCCTCTCAACTTTCGAACAGTTCAAACAATTTATTTCAGCATGGTGTTCTTCAGAAAACTGCTTCTGTAGCTCATGTAGACAATAACTTTGTTTGCTGTCTCACAGCTGGAATCTTCTGACCCTGTGTTCTGTTTATTGTTTATTGTTTGCTTTTGTTTTATTTATGTGCTTAGCTTTTGTCTTTGTGACAGTTATAGCAAAATTTGCTTTTCTTTTCTTTTTAGCTTGCTTGCTTTGGTTTATGTATGTTTGCTTAGCTATTATATTATGCATGTGTTTTTATTTGTATGTGTAGTTTGTCAAAATTAATGTGCTTATATATGTTATTTGTTTTTAAATATCAAGTCGGTTAAGAGCTCTACAGAGCTCATGTTTACCTTGTTGAATTGTACGCCCGACTCTAAATAAAATTTACTTACTTACTTACTTACTTACCCTATTCAAAAGAATTCTGAATAGTTTTGCATTCATGAATTGTCTATAAGTTTTATGTAGCACCTCTTTTAACCCTCCTATGACCGAAAACTGAAAAAAATATCAGTTTCTGCATAAAAGGTCCAAAAAATCGGCGTGCACATCATTTTAGTCTAGGTACGCCCCTGAAGAACATATAGACCCAAACTCCCCAAGATTATGTTTGGTTAATATGAGTGCTCCAGCATACAGTGATTAAAATTTACTATACCAGATGCGCATTTCGACAAAATAAATGTCTCTTCAGTGATGCTCGTTTTTAATAACACACTATCCGTATTTTCATGTTTGTACCAAAGTAAGCTATTCCCGCGCACAGCTTAGGATAGAGTACACACATTTTAATTGACTGAAAACCTTATCTCATAGCTTGAAACCATAGTATACCAATGATCAGACAAGTACCCTGTTGTAAAGCAAATTGTTTTTGATACTGCCTTTAGCTATACGAGTCTGCTGAGATATCTCAGAAATGTTTTAATGAATTAGATTTTGTAATTACTGATAATGAAATTATCACTGCCATCTCAAAATTAAAATGGAATAAATCACCTGGGTTGGACAATATAACAAATAACATGATCAAATGCAGCCATAGTATTTAATTGGTTTCTTCAAAAAAAATATTCAATTCTTGCTAATGATATATTACACCCTT